TCCTTAAACCATACATAATGTCTGAATAAAGACAATTAGAAAGTCATACTTGCGCCTAGCATGATACAACTAACACATGTACAATTGAAAATGCGCTAGCCCTGTTTACAGCTTATATTTTGTAAGTGAAGGAAACAAAAATATCTGATGCACACATAGAAAGTGGAAATACTCATAATAATTACAGTCCCTGTTTCTGCAACTGGTCACGTGGCTGTAACTGGTATTTAGAACTATCTTCTTCCACCACCCATTCTGTATTCCCTTTGCCCTCAGCAAGCACCTTGGCTGGTCGTGGTTCTTTGCCTGGTGGGGTGACCCAAACCTTCCTTCCTGAAGGGTCTGTGTCATTAGTAGTCATGTCAGAATTAGGTTGCTGTAGTTTTCCATTGACTTTAATCACAGGGCATGGTAGTACTAAGAGATGCCCCAAGGAATCTCCTGCATTCCAGACCTACTCTTCTTTACCTCCATTATGTAATATCAATCTGATTTCCTCTTGGTAATCAGGATCAATAGTATGGTAACGCCCTTCTTTGCCTGTTGATCCAGAGCCATAAGGAGCCCAAAGTGTCCAGGTGGATTCTCAACTTCCAGTTCAGTGGATTCAGTGATGTGTCTCCAGGTGGGAGCATTCCTGCCTTTGGAACTAAGACCTCTAGGCCTGCAGAGCATAAGGTCGAGGGGACAGGAAGCAAAAATCTTGCAAGTGGTCAGTAGGGGTAATAGTGAGTGGTTCCACTCCCATTTCCACCCCTCGATTCCTGGACCCGTGAATCCTGGCTATGGGAGAAGCAGCACTATATATTGGACACTGGTTTAAAGCATATACAGCCTCCTGGAGAACACTGCCCCAACCCTGCAAGGTATTGCCACCTAGCTGGTGCCATAATTGTGTCTTTAGAAGGCCACTCCATCGTTCTATCAAGCCAGCTGCTTCAGGATGATGGGGAACATGGTAAGACCAGTGAATTCCATGAGCATGGGCCCACTGCCGCACTTCGTTTGCTGTGAAATGAGTCCCTTGACCTGAGGCAATGCTGTGTGGGATACCATGACGGTGGATAAGGCATTCTGTAAGTCCACAGATGGTAGTTTTGGCAGAAGCATTTCATGCAGGGAAGGCAAATTCATATCCAGAGTAACTGTCTATTTCAGTAAAGACAAAACACTGCCCTTTCCATGATGGAAGTGGTCCAATGTAATCAACTTGCCACCACGTTGCTGGCTGATCACCTTGGGGGATGGTGCCATATCAGGGACTCAGTGTTGGTCTCTGCTGCTGGCAGATTAGGCACTCAGCAGAGGCTGTGGCCATGTCAGCCTTGGTGAGTGGAAGTCCATGCTGCTGGGCCCATGCATAATCTCCATCCCTGCCACCATGGCCACTTTGTTCACGAGCTCATTGAGCAATGATGGGAGTAGCTGGGGAAAAAGGATGACTGGTTTCCACAGAACGTGTCATCCTATCCACTTGATTGTTAAAATCATCCTCTGCTGAGGTCACCCTTGGTGAGCATTCACACGAGACACAAATATCTTCACTTCTTTAGCCCATTTGGAGAGGTCTATCCACATACCTCTTCCCCATAAATCCTTGTCTCCAATTTTCCAATCATGTTCCTTCCAAGTCCCTGACCATCCAGCCAAACCATTGGCCACAGCCCATGAATCAGTATATAATCGCACATCTGGCCATTTC